CCAGAGACAATCCAGCACATAACAGCAGGGTGCAAGATGCTAGCAGGCAAGGCATACATGGAACGCCATAATCAAGTGGCCGGCATAGTGTACAGGAACATCTGTGCCGAGTATAACCGGGAAGTCCCGAGGTCAAAATGGGAGATGCCCCGAAGGGTGATGGAGAATGACCGAGCTAAGATCCTGTGGGACTTCCAGATACAGACGGACAAAATGGTGGTGGCTAACCAGTCCCAGCCATTCACCACCTGAACCCACCCATCCAAGTTTTTAAATTCAGTTTACTGAAACCCACATAAAATGAATAAAGCATTAGGAGACAGTGAGCAGAGAATATTCAACCAGAAAACTGCATCAGTAAAACTTTTTTTATTAAGTCTCCTTGGCAGACACGTAGTGTAAACACACATAAACTTTAGCAAAGATGGAAACAGTAGCAGGTTTTTTTTGTCTGTGGTTAGTACATTTGGTCTTGAGCCAAATGGGGCCTGGGAATGCACTAATCTTAAAATAAACACCTCCGGATTGAGTCTGTCTGAAACCTTTGGTACAGATATCCACATTAACTATATGTCATTGGTGAAGCAGAGGCTCAGCTCTGAAGTGGCTTCTGTCTCTGATCAACCTAAAAGGCTCTCATATTGCATTTCATGTGTATGAAAGCTACACAAGGACAACCTGATTGTTTTTAGGAGATATAATTTATTTTAAAAGTGTGGGACTCCTGACTCTGTTTGGACCCTTGCTCAAGTTGTTCAGCTTGCCAAGTGCAATATGGGCAAGGAATAAACACATAAATAAATACAACAGTATTTTATTAATATAACTACACTAATAGTCTGCAACTACTTGCCAACAAAAAAATAGGCAGCTGTGCATCACTGTTAGCCCTCGTGGCTTCATTTGGCTTTTAAAGGATGATGATTTTGCTTAATGTTTAAATATTAAAATCAAGGTCCAGTTCAGGTAATTTAATTTAGCAAAAATAACACCAAGAAGAGAATAATACAGCACAATACAGAAAGAAAAGAAAAACAAGAAAGAATTAGCTTGTAGCTAATTGCTGTTACGTTGTTAAAAATAAAAGGACTACAATTTGTTTAACTAAGTGATAGAAGATGGGGAAACAGAGATTTTTAGAATGTGTTACTCTACAATTGTGTTATATAAGGGGGTCCAGAAAAAGAAACTAAAAGTTATGATACAGGAATACTGGGTTAAATCACCAGTCAGTGACACTTTGTTACTTTTATTGGGGAAAGTAAATTTAAGATGAGCATTTGTGTTATTTCTCATGGGACACTATTTGAATTTACTTTTGCAGCTCTCTGTTAACATAAACACAAAACACAGTAACCACTGGTGCAAGTGTTGCTATGAAACAATGAAAAACACATTCTGCAATAGCAACATGACTTTAAAGATAGATCATCCAAATACTCTGGATAATATTCTGGAGGAAACAGATATAGTTCACATTGGATCTGCTTCTTTGACGAGATCTGTAAAACAAACAAACAAACAAAAAAAGGATGATGGAGCTGTTAAATCAAAATCTCGAGTTTCCTATTAATTTCCTCCTTCATCTACAGGTGCATCCAGTGAAAACCTGTGACACCTTTTTATCAGTGATCAAAATGTGAAACACGACTTCATCCACAGCTTTTGACACAGTATGCACACTGTGATTTGAAGAGAGTAGGGCCAAATTGCAGTTACAGTAGAGCTTTTTGACATGCAAGTCGAGTCAGCTTGACACAGAAAGTTGTTATTTGCTCGCGCCACAACTTTGAGATCAGTGGTGAAACTGCCTTAAAATCTTGTATTTCCCATCATTCCAAGGATTCAGGTAGACATTATTTGTCAAAAATAAATAAATATTAGATGTGATTTTCTTGTGTTTTTTGTAGTGTATGTATATTGTCCGTTCTATAAACATAAATTGAGACACACAAGTATTTTTAATTTCAAGTGCTGAATGTTGCATTTGTAAGCATATACAGAACAATTCTCTCAAGAAGTGGATGCTTTACTAGTGTGACATACCCCAGAATACCATAAATTATACTAGAAAACAAACAAACAAAAAAAATCCCAAACACTAACAGGACAGGAAATGGATAGAAAACTGTGATCAGATTCTTTCTTAATTTTGAAAATATCTCAATAATTTAATTATATTTGACTTCCTTGCTTTAACAGATGTAACTGCATTGGTCTAACAGTGAGAAAAGTAGATTTTAATTTAAGTGAGACATTTGGACATTTAGGTAAATGATGCTTTACCCTACTGAAATAACTCTCTCCCCTGCTCCCTTGAGCGAGACACTGAAGTCCATCTGTTCCTCTAGAGCTGCCCTGAGGTTGAACTCTGAG